TCATGGAGTTGCATAGAGGACTGAGTTAGTGCATATAAGATGCTTAGTACAGTTGAAACTCAACACATGAACGCCACTGTTATTACTAATGACTGTTCTTCCCAGTTTGTCCCTTATCAGAAGAAGGTCTCATTTTAATGTAAACATGTTTGCTCTCCCCCCCCTTCCTTGGTTTGCTGTAGGGCTTGTGCACTCACCAGGGAACAGAGAGACACAGAGAAAGTGAATCTGGGGGGATGGCCACACGGTAATTCCTTCTCCATTCTCCTCTCAGGATTTTGGGCATGCATGTACACATACCCAGTGTTGTTGTTGTTGTTGTTTTAAACCCCCCCCCCATAGGGCACATGCACTTGCCAGAGAGAGACAGTGAGATGGAAAATGAGAAATCACCCACTAGCGAGGATGGCAATGCACATAATCCCTTCTTTTTTGGGGATTTTGGGCACACACATGTACACACACACACACACACACGGGCCCAGTGTGATTTTCTTTTCTTTGTTTCTTTTTTTTCTAGAGGTTTTTGCTATAGGGCGCATGCGCTTGCCAGGCAGACAGGGAGAGACAGAGAGACAGAAAGAGAGAAATCAACCCCCCCAGGGGGGGTGGCCACACCGCAATCTCTTCTCCATTCTCCTCTCGGAATCTTGGGCACACATGGACATGTACCCGGCGTGAGTTTTAAGTCACCGGGTCCGGGATGCGAACCGCGGTCGACTACGTGGGAGTCCAGTGACATAGCCATTACGCTAACTGCTAGTCCCTCTTTTTTCTTTTTTTAGAGAGATTTTGCTATAGGGTACGTGTGCTTGCTGGAGAGACAGAGAGACAGGGTGAGAAATCACCCCTCAGGGAGTCTGGCCACACTGCAGTCCCTTCTCTCGGGAGTTTGGTCATGTGCATACGTGCCCAGCATGAGCTTTAAGCCTCCAGGTCTGGGGCTTGAACAGTAGTTGATTACATGGGAGTCCAGCAATGTAACCATTAATGCCATCTGCTGGTCCCACCTAGTGTGATTTTCAAGTCATCAGGTCTGGGACTCAAACTGTTGTCAGCCTGTCAGAGTGCAGTGCCTTAACTACCATGCCACCTGCTGACTCTGCCCAGTGTTCATTTTAAGTTGCCAGGTCCAGTACTCCATGTTTTCAGCCATGTGGAATCCAGCCACCTTAACCTCTATGCCACTGGCTGGCCCCTGTTTGCTCTTTAAACTGAGTTGTGTGTATAGAGCTGTGTTGTGATTTCCTTGAGGTTATTTCTGGTCATCATGGAAATCTCTGACAACACCATCCTTCTCATCATGGTAGATGCAATTGTCCATTCCTCTAGAAGAGATTTGGAGTGCTGACTCTATAGGGTGAGTCTGCTGAATCAGCACATCATCTAGGTCTGACTGCAGTTCTGCACACATTAAGTTGTATAAATGAGCTAGAGAAAGTGCAGCCTTTGGGAAACTTGTCTTTCCTG